AGAGAGAGAGAGATTTTTAGATGAAATTTATTATATATAATTCGGATATATGTGTGACATTTTATAATCTTATAAATATGAAATTAAAATAAAGTATATGTGTAATTTTAGTATTCATAATTATTTTCTATTCTATTATTATATAAATTTAATTAATTTTAAGTAAAAATGTGTTAAATTATATCTTGTCATTTATAAAAAGGTACTATGAAAAAGTTATCTTATAAACTCTTTTTAAATTATTATTAGAATAAAACTGCAATTTATATATTATGTCATTTTAATTGCGATTGTATAATAATTTTTTCAAATTGTGATTTCAATTAAATTATAACTGTAAAATCATAGTATATAAAATAATAATTTTTTGCTGTAAATTGTTAATATCTATAATATTTATATATTTATATATAATATTTATAACAATATATGCATAATGAGAATAAACAATTAATTTTTTAAAAATAATACTTATTTTAAATACATTATTGTCTTGTTGCTCGTTACATTATTAATAATTTTGACAATATTGTTATTTGAAATATGAATATATGATACAAATATATAATAATTCAAGTTATTATAATACGCCGTTCCATTGCACTTTATGAAAGAATGCATTTACTGAAACACATTTAAGATATACATTAATAAATATATTCATAAATTTTACAATAATTGGAAATCTATTTTTCTATAATATTAATTGATTAGTAGATTAATGGATTAATTAATAGATTAATTGAAAAGATTTAAAAATTTCTTAAATTAGTAAAATTTTATTGAACATGAAACAAATTGATTGATTATTAACTAATTGTAAGTTTGATTTAATTATTTAATTTAATTCTGAAAAATTTGTTTTTTGATTTATGATTAATTTTTTTTGTTTATTGATTGCGTGACAAAATTTGTTTTATAAAATTTCTATAAAATATTACATTGTTAAAAAATTTTAACAAAAATATTTATACTTACTTATTTGTGCATATTTCTATGGATACTTGAACTGAGGCATATTCGAGGCGTAAAACAAAAGTAAATGAAAAAAGAAATTATCATCGCCATTATTAATATGGCCCACAATGTCCAAAATAATAATAATCGAAATTTCATCCAAAATGGATTAGAAACATAATATTTTATATTTTCCGTTTTATCTGTAATAAAAAAAAGAAATCTCAACAATGTGATGTTTAATATATTATAATACATTTAATATTTTTTAAAATTCGCTTTGTTTCTATATTTATATTTATGTAGATATTTTTACTAAATAGTTGTACGAAATGTTACTGTTGTTGTATCATTTATAAAACGATTTTTCATTTATAAAATGATCATTTATAAAATGATATCATTTATGTAAATAATCTACTTTTATATCTGACTTGGGTAAAATATGATATTTAATTATGTTTTTTTTTTTTCAAATTGTGAAGCTATCAAATTTTTGAATACTACTATATACTTATATTTCTTACAAAAAAAAAGATAAAATTTAATTGAATTATGCAATAATTCTCTTACCTTTGAAACATTCTTTTCCCATCTTATCAATAATAATAAGAGGGATACTATCGTAAATAGGATTTTTCTGAGTGAAAGGTGATTTTTCCTGAAGCTCCATTTTTATTATTTCTTCTTGTTTGTGCGATAGCACAGTAATGTATGATAGAATCGTCTAAGTTTTTAGTACTTTCAACCAAATTTCATTTTGTTTTGTTCTCAATATTTATAAGCCTGCAAGGAGATTGAGATATATGTACCACACACACAAACACATGCGTATGCACACACATAATCGTAAAAGAGTAATGAGTCTACATACATAAATATTCAAACTGTATATTACAGGTCACTATCATCATTCTGATTACTTGACGATTATTCTTATCAATTGAAGAAATGTACTGACATAATGTATAAATGGATCAAATACAATTTAGCACAAACATAAACGAAATTCAATTATTTATGCGAAAAATTCTTTGTAACCGGATACATGTCATTGTAAGGTAACTATGAATAGCAAGTTTCGTGAAAATCTAGAAAATCGTGTAAAGTTTAAAAGATGTTATTTAGATTCTTATAGCTTTAATTTGAATTAATGATTATTAAATACTGGCACTGGCACTGCATAATCAAAATTTCTGTTTCACTTTTTTCTTAATTCGCTTTTCAGTCTAGTTCGTAAACGCGATGAATGTTCACATTGATCTCTTTACAAAGAATAGATCTCCAGGCATATTTACAGCATAGATATCGTTATTGCGATGAACCCGTTCCTTGATATATGTGCACCTGATGATTCCAAGTGACCTCCGTGAACATCTGGTTTTTAATAACTGTAGCTTTTTTTAACTTGATACTTGAGTCATCGTTTAAACTCTGATCTCTACTTTGCTATTATTAACATATAATCCTCTTAATTTCTGCCAATCATCTTTCAGTTAGAGATTGTTGAGATCTATTAAAGATCATAATTATATCAAGAAGAATTTAAATTTTATTTTATTATTATGTGTGATTTTTTTTATTTGTTCAGAAGATTTTTCAAGAGTCCACAGATATATACTGTCGAATCTAATAATTAGATCTGATAATTTCGACAAATGTAACCGCGAGCAGTTATATAGTTGTATAATTGTCGCATGCACTACGTTTTATAATTAGACTCACGACAGTTTTAGAATAAACGCTTTCGTGAAAATGTATGTCTTATTTCCTGGGAACGCTACAATATGTTGGAATTAATTTTCCTCAATTCCGTCGAATGATAAGGTTGCGATATAATTGCAACGTAAACTTCATTTTCATGTCGACAAAAGGCATCGATGACGATAGAAGAGATGTTATTCTGTCCCTGAGTTCTTAATTACTATTATTAAGTTTAAATTGTATGGGGATGCAGAGTTAGGAGTACAAATGTAATCATCTATAATACTTCACGAACCTTTATCGCATGTACTTCGCATGTACTTTGTATTAACTTACGTATAAGCTACAGAAGACTCGATGTGTAATCAAAATTAAATGTAATGTGTAATAATTTGTTTTTATTATAAATTTTTTTCTTACCTCTTTAAAAATCATTCTTAAAAATAAGATTCTCTTAAATAATCGTGTCATGTTATGATGAATTATTAAATTCATGGATACAAATGCTTCATAAATAACTTTGCATATTTATGCTGTTATAACATCATATATATTGCCATAAAATTACAATTGTTTTATATAATTATCATTTTTATGGATAATTAAATATAGATGGTAATTATAAAAATGCAATTTAAAAAAAAAATATGAGCAAGTTGTAAATATACATATTTAAGAAATATATTAAATTAATACTATGTCATGGGTAAAAAATGCTAATTAAAAATTTTAACAGTTACGCGTGATCACGCGAATTCCTATAAAATCATCGATCATTAATATAATATCTCGTCGATGATGTAATCTATAATTTTATATATACTCAAGAACAGTGTGTATTCGGATGATCAACATATTTGAGTATCATAAATTTTTAATTTTCAAGCTTTTTATATTATATTTTTCTATATTTTATTTATATTTCTACAATATATTTTCATCAATATCGTGTTTCAATTTCGCGCCAATTTTGAGATTAATTTCTTATTGGCTCTTTCTATAGGTCTGTTCTTTTCAACTGAACTGGCTGCAGTTAGTTCAGAGTTTATCTTTCTAATATAATACCGGTATGATCACATCATGATTATGGCCAAAAAATATTGAGAGAATTGCCATATAATTGTGATATTTGTAATCAGAAGAATTGCCTGTAACCTACTATAGAGTGATCTTTTAGGAAAAAAAAAATTAATAAAAATTCATTCTGACATCTCACTAAATCTGTACTCTATAGTGCAGTTAAAGTGCAGATAATTTCATTTGTTGCAATATTAAAAAAATTTATATATAATTTATATATAATTTATAATTTAGTAAAATATTGTTTGTACAAATTAAAATATAATAGAGATACAATATGACAGATATATATTTGCACTGCGAATAATGAGTACAAAATCAAGGCTCGTTGTGCAATCTTTTCTATGTCTAAATTTTAAGGCGTTTGGGGCCATTCATGGTTCCGCATGTATGTATGTGAAAGCCACGCGGTAAATTTATTTAGATCTTTAATATGTTATGTTGAATTAGCAATTGATCAGAGTGTATCATTGTTATAATAAAAAATTAACATAAGCATTATTATTTATTATATATATATATATATATATAAATATAATATATAGTGATCATTAAACTAGTTAAAAAGGATACATGAAGTTTAAAAAAGAGTATACTAAATTATAATGTTGCAAAGTATTATACAATTATCGATTAAGTCGACTTATGGCACAAAACTTTTAAGAGCAGTTGATTTAAGATCGACAATTAGATGTAGATATGCTAGATGGACCAGTCGAAAACCTGTTGCAATTGTCAACGAGCATGAGTTTTTCGACACTGATGATGCAACTGTAACCAAAGTGGATGAACAAAGAGCTCCCAAAACACGTAAGAAATCTAAAATAAAAACATGCGAAAAGAAAGAGAAGAGGAAACAAAGTGAAACAAAAAATGAAATGAAAGAATACACTACTGAACATACAGAATCAAAATATATAGCCCTTAAAGCAGATGACAAGATCATAAGGTATATAATTTCTTAAATAACACATAAATGCAAAATTAAGTCTTTGGAAAATAATACATAAATTATAACGTAATACATAAATTACAAATAATATATGATATATTTTATGCTTTAGCTCATTAATGATAGATGTCAAAACGAGAAAAAGGAGAACTAAGAATCATCAGATGTTATTGGAAGGTTTTCGATTAATTGAAGATGCAATTCAGGCAGGAGCTATACCAAAAGTGATATTTTTCAACAGATTATCTGACATATTGCCATTATCGCTTCCTAAGGAAGTAACATTATATAAAATTCCATATCGTACGATTCAGTTATGGTCTAACTTAACAACTTCTCCTGGAATAATTGGTAATCACTTGGATTTAAAAAAATTTCTCTTAAAGATTTTAGATTAGATGGCCAGTAATCGTTATAAAATATTCTATAAAAATAGATATTTGTACATAATTGTTATCATTTTTGATACAGGAATTTTTGAAATTCCAAATACAGAGGCTAAGGAACCTGCCAAAGATGCTATACCTTTGACCATTATTTGTGATAATATCAGAGAATCAGGAAATTTGGGAGCTATCATAAGAGCTGCTGCTGCAGTTGGTTGTGAAAAGTTATTGTTAATGAAAGGTAACTTGTTACTAATGTCTTATAATCAATTTGCCATTAATTTATGTTTCTGCCATTTTAGGATGTGTAGATTTGTGGGAGCCCAAAGTTGTACGCAGTGCTATAGGTGCACATTTTCGTTTACCAATATTTACATCTGTTTCATGGGATGAAATTCCGACGTTAATAAGCAACGAAGCTGCAATTTTTTTGGCAGATAACAACATAATATATGAAAATGATTTAAAAGATTCTATAGATAATTCAGAATCAAATGTAAACGTTTTAACAGAAGTCAATGATAATAATATAAAGCGAGATAATCCAGATGCGAACGACGATCAAACTATTGAAGATAATGCGAACCAATTGATAGATGAAATTAAAACATACAAATCAACTGCAAAAAGTAAATTATTGATAAAAAAGTTGATATCTCGATTTCCAGTTATACCTTACTACGCACTAGATTTTACAAAAAGAGAAATAGTAATTGTTATTGGTGGAGAAACTGAAGGTGTAAGTCTTGAATCCTGTAAACTACTTTCTGCAAGGAACTGCATTCGTGTTAATATACCATTAACTAATGGTGTTGATAGCTTAAACGTTAGCGTAGCTCTTGGTATTATTACATTTGAAATGAAAAGACAGTTTGTAACTCGCATAATTGATAATGAATAAAACTATTCTTAAATTACAATAATATGAATAATGTTTCCTTGTTACCAATCTTTCTTAATTTGATTCAATCTAAATTTATATGGATGTAAAATTTTATTATGAAAGATCGGAGTATGCTATGTTTGGTCTATTGCAATAAATGTTCTACGAAATGATCTTTAATAATTATTGTGTTTTATGTAATATCAATATTACAGAAAAAAAAGAGATTAAGAGAAAAAGATGTAATGATATTCTTTATCTTATTTGTTATAGATATTCGTTACGGTAAATTTCAATAATATAAAATTTGCTTTTCAGATAGTGAGAACTCATTTTCTAATATAGCAAAGAACTAAATATAATAAATACATAATTTATTAAACATGACATGTGTTATTACATGTATTATGTTATCTTTAGAGTTCATTTCAGAATTGGAAATAAAATTGAAATAATCACGTCTTTAATTCGTTGATTTTCCAATATAAAATTGGAATATTTCCAATTTTCAAGTATATTTTAAAAGTATATTTTGTATATATGTATAATCATATACATCGAGAATAAGTATTACAAACAAAACTGTGTATTAAGATAGAAAAAAATTTTAATTGTAGTATGTGTATAAGAGCGCGAATTATTGTAAATTTTGTAACACTATAAATTTACATTTATTTTACATAATTTAAATTTCTTTATATATAAAATTTTTATTTTTTATTAGAAACAAAAATTTTATTAAATTAATTATGAAATATACATTTTAGAAGTCATTAAGATGTATCATATTTATATTTGTGTGTATTTTTCTTAAACTGCACCGATTGGGAAGGATAATGCATACAGTAGATTAGTATTATTAGTATTATAAATTTTAATAAATCTTTTATGGATTAAGTGCATGTTCTCGATGTACATTATATTATTCACTGCTCGAGGCATAAAAAATAAACGAATAAGATAGTCGTAAATAAATAAAGATGTCAGTATTTCTTTCAGTGCACGCGTCCTCTTTTGTGACAAAGAATAAGAAAAAAAACATGTAAGTAGAAATTTCGAGACTTACAACCACTAATTTCTCAAAAAAATTACAAATATTATTATTATGACTAAACATATGTGTATCTTATCGTTGTAACAAATTAAATGCCGAATATGATGCTTTCAGGATCTGAAAGAAAAATTACAAGTAAGAATAATGTAAAAGTGATAACGCATTTATGTTATTAAAAAATATCGGCGCCAGGCCATATCTTTATGGACTCAGATATAAAAAACATTCATGCAAGTATCATACACACATTTTTATACTTCTTAAAGTATATCAAATATATACATATATAAAATGTGTGACTGTAACACTAACGTTGCTGTAAGATTGAAGAGATATAGTTATTAAGAAACTACTGGTAAACTTTATAGGAATTGTACTACGCATCATGATCATCAACAATTCTTTTCTTTCACTGATTGATAGTGAAGGCCAGTCCAAGTCGTATATCGCATCTCCTATGCTCGTACTCTATCATAACATAAATAAAATGACTATAATTATAATCGTAAAAGTGTAATTAAATATAAGCATATATATATATATACATATTAATTGCAATGCACGATAAAATTTACGTCAATATTTTTGCGCTACAATCAGTGTGCGTCCGGGAAGAATATTTCATTCGCACCCTCAATGCTCTATTGATTTCTATTACTTGATTTATATATAATCGTTTCAAGTACTTGGGCTCGATATTACAATCGATTTCAGTTAATCAATTCATATATACATATTTAACAGCAGTTTAAAAAGCATTTATAATTTTCATAATCATACGAATCATATGATGATAGAATGATAGGAAGATTTGAGAACGATTGATAATCTCGTCGATTATGGACAACATAAATTGACAAGTAATTGTATCCAAAGTACATTGAATACATAATTGCAATTAATTTTATATTTATTTTACTTGTCGCAAAGCATATTTTAAAATAAATTGTGGATGTGAGTAATCGTTTACCTTAAGCATAACTTCGTTTCCAGACCAACAATAGACATAAATTTGTACAAACATACAAATAGTATATATTAGTAAAGTCATGGTTCCAGATTCCGAGATATGCGTCGACATGTAAAATACACTCGTGCATAAGATCAAGATACTGCTGAAGAATTGAATAAAGAGTACTTGATTGAATATAATATTCAATGTTTTGGCATATCTGTAATGACATCATTCGTGTTAATTCCGCACTTCAAATGACATAGGTAATTTTTCATTGTTATGTACATTCTAATGTCAACTTCTAAAAATATTAAGATTGAAGAAAATGGATACCTTTTGGAAATAGGAAAATAGATAATCTTAAATAAAATTAATTATAATTCTTTACAAGTCAAGTTTTGCATGCAATATTTGTAACCAGGTTAATTTAAAAATAATTTGAGATTTTAACAATTATCTAATAATCTTAAATTAACGCATGGATATATTTTGTGATTCTAAACAATTATTCCATTAACGAATAGTAGAACATAAATTATTATTATTAAAAATTATTTTGAAGATCAATTGCGAGTCATTCGTGACTTGTAAGTACAATAGATAACAGATGAATATGTTTATATGCATAATAGAATATAATATGATATAAATAAAAAAATGCGGAAATATATAAATAATAGTGGAAGAAAAAGAATGTACCTTACGGTGTAAAATCTGTAATACAAAAGATGTAATCTTTCTATATTATTTACTAACTTGTAAATGCTGAGATGATGATGTATGTATTCCGATATCGTTGACTTTTCTTTAATTGGCGATATAAATGAATGTTTTAATTTAACTGTTTTATTAGATACGAATTTATATAGACGATTTTCAAAAATTTCAAATTGGGCGCACGTTTGCAAAAACAATCCAAAAACTAAGGTTTCCGTGCCGACATTTATGAAAGTGGCGAAAATCAGAGCTATGATCTGCTGAATGGATACCATCCAAAACACCAGAGGTATATTAAAATCATATGGTATCCATACTCTGTAAGGTAATTGACCCTCTATGACATTTAGCACTGATCGTAGCGTTACACTCGTAAGAGAACTCATCGCCAAAAGTAAATATCTTATCGACCACGATCTGCAAATATAAAAATATAAATTATATTCTATAAATACTCTTTCATACTTTAATGGTAATTGATGAAAATCTATTAATGAAAATCCATCTGTGCGTAATCGACCTGATGAACTTGTCAAATTTTGTTTGTATTACTTCTTCGCTCTCGTCCTGAGGTTTACACGGTATCGTCAACAGCATTTGCACCAACTTGACAATGGCATTTCGGCGTATTACAACGAGAGTCGCTTTGGAAGTGACAGCAACGATACTCGCGAACATTAAAGAATTCGCAACGAAATCATCAACGTTGTCGACCACGAGCAAAATATCCATGAATTGACTTATCACCAAAAAATATTCCAAGAATAGTATAACGCTGGTAAATATATTGTACAGCAGCTTGGCACCATTCGATGACCATTCGATAGGCCGCCATATACCGGCGACGGTATATATTAAAAAATTAAGAGTAAGCAGTTGCATAATTACAGATAGCTTGGAACACAAAAAATTAAACACCTTCCTACATGTATAACATTTAGAAAAATATTTTCAAATCGCCATTAAATATATTCTTCAATATATTTAAATATTAACTCTTGCGAATTAGCAACAGGCGCAAGCAAGGCTTATAGCAAGGTTTATAGAAAAGAAATTCTTTAAAAGAAATTAAGAGTTTCAAATATGCTAATCTTTTCTATAAACAAATGTATATGTAAAATATCATACAACAAAGACGTTTCGCATACGGCGTTTATATTTCTCATTTAGCACTGACCGCGATCATCTGTCCGCCTGTGTGACAAGTTTTATTTTTAATAGAACAAAAAAGGCTACTTAGAGCCGGAACGTAAGGATGTTGCATAAATATTAATGTCATTAATAATTTCTACGATAATAATATGAATGACAAAAGTAGCCATCTAACCGTGAAACATTACTATTTTGATAACATTAAGGGTCTTGATAAATTCTCCCCTTAATGGTAAATTAAATAGATTGATCAAATAGAGACATCAATAAAAGGAGAAATCATGTAATGTATTAGAAGAAAAAGAGGAAGAGAAAATGCCACAAATTATATAATTACTCTACGCACTGTAAGCAGAAAAATATAAACGGAGATGTGCTTAATAATGGAAGCAGCAAACCAAAGGAAATTTTTTAACTATTCAGCATTCCCGCTTTGTAAGTGTTATAAGTAAGTTCAAGTTCTGATTTCATCAAATATAAAAAACGCTGTTAATCGTTGCGAGCAAGGTCGATCGTTTTCCGTCAACTGTGGCACTAACTGTGACATAACTGATCTGATGTTTTTGTAACAGTTATCAGAATAATCATTAATGACTGAAATATTTATTAAAGCAACATCTGCGTTTTCTGACTATAATTCGCCTCTTTTCTCCTATTGAAATTATTTATCAAAATAATTTTGTCATTTTCTTCTCATCAAGTTTTATTCTTTCCACACAGTAAATCGTAGATAATATTATTACGTTAGAATCGAACGATATGTTATTTGTTCGTACGTCACGTAAAACATAATTGTCAAAAAGAGAAAAAGCAAGTGTTTATCGGCGCACTTTTCTTCTCAAAATTTCGCTTCTCACATTTCTCACGGTAGTCGAATGTAATAATTGCTAAAGTTGCAGTGCATTAATACTACAGATACTGAAGATGAATATGACTTATTTCACTATATCTATATCATAGAGATAATTAAATTCCAAGTAAATGTATAATCGAATATGTCTCGCGGTAGACTATACGCAGTTTCATTTGCTTCAACTTCTTAACCCTAGTATCATTAATTGCGTTCATTAGCTATTCATTAGCCATTCATTAGTCAGCATAAAGTCGTTCATTACGGTGTACGTTGTTTTCCGCTTCATGTGAATACCACAATTATAAATATCATCTATAATTATAAATGCAACGGTCAGAGGGATATGTCGTCCTTTATACAGTCTTTCACACATATTGCCATATTCCCACTGAATGAAATATTTGTATATTTTCATGTCATCGGCAGCAATTTAACGGAAGATCGTATTTCCCGCATATAAAGTCTGACTTTATTACATAAAAGTACAAGACAACGAGTAACACGAGTGGAGTGGAGTGGAGTAATGTACGGTACATTTAGATACTTTTCAAGTTGCTCGTACATCTATTCGCCGATAACTCAGCTGTAGTTTATCGAGAAAACGAGCGAATCGGAAGGATCGAAAGGATCACTGTGTTGTGAATTCATCCTAGTATGCCTAGAAAAAGAACACAGGTAACGTGTACGAAGAAAATTAAATCTCTCATGTCCAATTGACGTTCGACTCGATTTGATATCTGCCTATACGTCAAATCAATTAATTGTATATATTACACTGTGCTACAAGGATATATTAACGTGTGCACGTTACACACACGTGTACCAATATTCCACAACAATCGGACTCGCTATAGGAACCAAGGTTGAAATAGATACATTAATAGAAGATATAACGTAACAGTTTAGAATCACTAATTTATCAAAAACTACATTACATTATCATATTTAAATTTCAATAATTTAATAATATATATTTTACTTTTGTAGTACGTTGAATGCTGAGTATGATGTTTTTAAAATCTAAAAGAAAAATTACAAGGAAGATTAACACGTGATGGTTAAAACATTATAATATCGTGCACTGTGATCATTGATCGTGTTAAAAATTCCGATCGATATTTTTGTCAGTTAATATTATACATACGCACCCTCACACAACGCGCGTATCTTTTTAATACGACAAATATATATTTTTTTACCAATGCAATAAATAATGGTACTAACATTACTGTAAGACTGAAGAGATAAAGTTATCAAGAAGCTGCTAGTGAATTTTATAGGAATTGTGCTGCGCATCATAATCATCAGCAATGCTTTCTTTTCGTTAACTGGCAATAATGGCCAATTCATACGATATACAGTCTCTCCTACGTTCGTACTCTGTCAACAAAACATGAATAAAATCATTATTTCACATTCGTAATAATATCGAATATATATAAATTATATTAATATTTATTAGTCCGATGATAATTACGAGCACGTGTATATTTTGTGATATTTTCATACATGATATACTTTTGATGGATATTTTTTTATATATTCCGTGAACGTATAATGATTTTAAATTTGATTAACAAATTATCTCGCGAAATTTTGCAAAAAATTAAAAATTGTACAAAACGGGTACTCATAATTTACCATTAAGATCTAAAAAATATATTTGTTTAATACAGATAGAATATCTCAAGTTGTAATCACCTTAAGAATGACTTCGTTTCCGGACCAGCAGTAAACGAAGATTTGTACAAACATGCAAATGGTATATACTAATAAATTCGCAATTGCCGACAGCTCTGTAATATGCATTGACAGGAAATATACACTTGTACATAATACCAATATACTACCAAAGAATTGAACAAAAAGCACCTCGTTGAATATAACATTGACGGTTTTGGCATATCTAAAATAGTCTCACGTTAGCTCCACATTTCAAATAAATAAAACAATTATTTATATACCGCGATATATAACTCGAGAACATAAAGCTTATAATTTTAAAAATTGTGGAAAAACTTTATTGCGCACTATTTATTAAACCAACAACTTACATGATTTCATCAAGTTATAAATATTAAAAATAATTAATCCTAAATTTTTTCAAGCTTTGCGCAATTTTTGCCAACACACACATCAAGTTTTATTATTTCCGCACACGAAATGGCCGTATCAAGAAGATCATATCGAGAATGTAGTCTGTTTTTGAGTTTTTGAGTACCATTGTTTATTATAATCAGATAACATTAGTTATATTAAATTTAGTTTTTAAATAATGTTCGGTTACAAATATCAGTCAGTAATATTCCATTATTAATAGCTATCGTTATAATCTATAATCTATATCGTTTTAAAATAGAAATAAGCACATAGTTGCAAATGTCCATTATTTTCACGTGACTTACTTGTAGATACACAAATGATGGTATATGCACTCTGATATGTTTCTTCTATTTTCACTTGATGAAGAAAGTGCACGTTCCAAATATCTAATTGTGTTATTAATTATTAATTTGTGGAGACGATTTTCGAAAATTTCAAGCTGAGCACATGTTTGTATAAATAATCCGAAAACTAAAGTTTCCGTGCCAACATTTATGATAGCAGCGAAAATTACAGTAAGGATCTGATGAATCGATATAATCCATAATCTCATGGGTACATGGTAGTCCCATGGCAGCCATATTCGATAAGGTAAGTGACCATGCATGACATTTAATACTGATCCTAGCGTAAGACCTGTAATGGAGCATGTTGCCAAAAGTGAATATTTTATCGAGCATGACCTGTAAATATAAAGCAGATATTATATTTTGTAAATTGTTCATGATTATTTACTTATTAATTACTTGCAAATATTTATCGATAGAATAAAATTTCTCTTTTCTTTCTCTTCTTTTCTTCTTTTCTGCACGCGCACGCATGCAGATAATATTATTTTAAAATAATATATTTGAAATGCTTTTCCAACGAAAACATTTCATTAATTAAATCACACATAAGAATTTATTACATATTTAAATGTGGAAATGCTTTGAAAATCAAAATTAATGAAATTTAATCAAAGTTAAAAAGCTCGTAAAGAACTTTTGTCGAAGGAATAATATATGTCATATACTTTTAAAATACGGACGATTTAAAAATGGACGATTATTATTTCTTATACATGTGTCAAATATACTGAAACATGAACTGAATACTATTGTATATACATTTAAAGTTATGTTAATACTTTTGGATTGCTTTGAAGATGTATACTCACTTAATAAACTTATCAAATTTCGTTTGTATCGCTATTTCGCCCTCATCTCGAGGTTTATATGGCGCCTCCAACAATATTTTCACCAAGTTGATGATCGCATTCCGACGTAGCACAACGACAGTCGCTTTACAACAAACAGCAACAATAGTGAAGAACATTAGCGTATTAGTAGCAAAATCATCGATATTATTGACAACAAAAATTATATCCATAAATTGAGTTAATACCAAAAAATATTCCGATAATACTATAATAAAAGTAAATATACTATACAGCAGCTTGGCACCACTTGATGACCACTCAATAGGTCGCCATATACCACCAACGGTGTACATCAAAAAATTTAGA